AAAACAATAATTAAAAAGCAGAAATTAAAAAAGAAAACAAAAACAAACCCAGGGCTCCAGTGCGCATGCATATGAGTGTGTCCGCGATGCGTTCAACGTGGCGGATGCGGGGCACAACGCGGAACACACAGCACGGCAGCAGAAGCAAGTGAAGCAAAACACAATCATTATTTTCTCTTATTTAGTACAGTGAACCACAACACACGCGCACAAATCCCGCGGTTGAGTGCTGGCACGCACAGCCCGCACACACCTCTTCAGCCCAGAGCGGTGTACGCCAGCGCGGATGCGGCAAGCAGCAGCGGGGCACACACCCACGCAGAGCTGCTGAGGCTGCCGTCGATTTCGCGAAGACGTGACGGTGCGCGGGTGGTCGTCGTGGTTGGCGCCTCAGTAGTCGTAGTGCTTGGCGGATGTGTTGTAGTGGTGGTGGTCGTCGTGGTTGGTGCCTTTGTTGTAGTCGTCGTTGTCGTTGTCTGAGCAGAGGCTTCAGACTTCTTATTTGTTTGTTCTGTAGGGATGTTGTTGCCACTTATTGGTCCAGTCGTGCCGTTCTTAACTTCTTTCGTATTTTCCGTAACTGTTGTCGGTTCTTGAACGGTCAAAATTTCTCCCCCTCCAACACTTTCTTCTATTTCCACAACAGGCTCCTTACTTGGCAACCCTGGCAAAGGGAGCGATAGACTGGGGGCGGCTTCAGGAGATTCAGGCCTAGTTGATTCCGGTTTTGTATTCTTCGTGGCCGTATTGGAAGACCCTTTACGCATAGCCTCTGCCACGCATACGGACGGGCAGCAGCAGCACAGGGCGAGCACCAACAGGGCGCACAGCACACGGCACATCATCATCGTGAGTGTGGTCGTTCAGTGGTGTGGAGCTGATCTGCACAGTGAGGGGCATGGAGAGCAACAGGGGAGACGAGAGGTGCGGCAGACACACACAGAGGGCACACCACATGAGGAGAGGGCAGCAGCCAGGCATGCACCGTACGCCGCACACCACGCACGACACACACTCCAATCCACGGCAGCAGGCACACACACACACACAGCCCTGCCGCAACACCAACACACAGATGGAGGAGGGAGAAGCAAACAGGAGCGGCACACAAGGCTCCACCGCATGTACATACGGCGAGAGCGGTCCGTCGTGTCGGCACCCCTCACGGAGGGTGCGCACACACACAAGAAGGTGCAGCGCACACAGCAACACAAAAGCAAAGTAACAATACAAAAAAGGAGATCCCCGCACACCACGCGGACTGTTGGTCCACGGGAAGTGCAGCCAATATTCACCACAAAACATTTGCAGTAGGCCTTCGTCCACATTCATCGCACTCCACTTCATGCAGGCACAGTCACCACAACTGCGGCCGCAT